TTATATTTTTTATTTTTTTTTTTTTTTTTTTTTTTTTAATTTGTTTTTCTTAAAGTGTATCTAATAAAATGTAAAAAAAGAATTTTAATGAATATTTTTATTATTAAAATATTTTGTCTGTCATATAAATACTTCTTAAGTTTTCTTATTAATTAGAATAAATCATTAAGGTTACTGAAAAATGTTTTATTAAAGAAAAAGCATATAACATTCTATATTGTTTAAAAAATTAATTATATGCTTTGTAGTTACTTCTTACCTGTCTTAAAAATTTTTTTCTTTATATATATATATGGATACAACATTTTAATAATTTAATATTTTTAGTAAAATATATATTTTTAATTCAAAACTAATTTAAAAAAGTTTGATGTATTTGAATAAATAGACTATTTATGTAGTACTTAAAAAAGAAAGGAAAAAATTATTCAGTTAGTTATAATAGTTATCTTGTTATACGAAAAAAATAAAAATTGTCTAAATAATTAAAGAAATATGAAAAGTTCAGTGGATAATTCACTTGTTTATGAGATATTTATTATTGTATTTTTTATTTTTACTATATATTAATTATATAAATATATTTAGGGTGTTATTAAAATACAAACAATTAATACATTTTTAATAATTTAAATCATAAAAAATATTTATATTTAAAAAAAATATACTAAATTTTTATATCTTTAAAAATTATTTTAGGTTTATTAATTTTTAAATTTTTATAATTACAAGTCTAATACTTTAAGCTTGTGCAAATATATACTTTATAACAAAATGAATATTAAAGTAATTATGTGTTATTTCTATATTGTCATTTAAAAAACAGAAAAAAAAAAAAAAAAAAAAACGTAGTTTATATATGCATGTTTTTTTAATAAAAAGAAAAATATATACACATTTCAAAAAAGGTAAAAAAGAATTGTAAAATTTGTTTTAAATATATTCAAATGTAATTCATTAAAAAAAAATATAATGAAATAAAGCAAAATAATATATTATAAATTATATACAAAATTAAATTATAATAAAAAAAAAAAAAAAAAAAAAAAAAATGTATATGTATATATATAAATAAATAAATAATAAAATCGTTAAAAATGAAATATTCAAAGTATTATTTATGGAAATAAAAACTAACAAGAAATTATAAAAAAAAAAAGGTTACATATTAGGAATATTCGTAGCTAAGAAATAAAAAATTTAAAAATACATAGAAACAAATCTCAGAAATCATATAAAAAATTAATATAATAAAAAAAAAAAAAATAACATTAAGATATTATAAAATTAAAAATTAGAGATAATGTTTTCTACTAAAAAAAAAAATAAAAGTAATATAAAATGATGAAAAATACATAATAATACACTATGTGAAAAAAAAAAAAAAAAAAAAAATAAATAAATAATAAGGCAAAAATTTTTAAATTATGTATAATACTATGTGTAAAAATATTTTATTTAGTCAATATAATTATTGTTATCATTATAAAAGTATTTTTTTTTTTTATTTTTTTTTTTTTTCTTTTTTTGGTAATTGATTAAAATATCCATATAGATATTATCCATACTGTAATATATTTTTTATTATAATTTAGAAATACTAATTGTTTATATACATTCACTACATACATTTTGTTCATTAATTTTATTGTAATTATTTTAAAAAAAAAAAATCCTTTTATATGTATTGTATTGAAGAAATATATTTATTTATATGCTATAAAATTTATTATCACTTTTTTTTTATAACATTTATTAAAAGACTTTATTAAAAAAAAAATGTTAAAACCTATTATAATAAAGGATAAAATTCAAAAAAATATATTGAAAGATCAAAAATATGAAGATGATAAATCTTTTCTAAATCCACATGAAGGTGATAAGGCAAGTATACTGCAAGAAACAAGAGTTTTTTCAAGTTATCCATTGAATACACAAAAATGTTTACAAATTTTAACAAAAATTCTTTATTTAATAAATAAAGGTGAAGATAGTTTAACATCTCAGGAATGCACAGATATATTTTTTAGTATAACAAAATTATTTCAATCCAATAATGAAAGGTTAAGAAGGATGGTATACTTATTAATAAAAAACCTACCAGTTAGCGAAAAAGAAATATTTATTGTAACAAGTTCATTAACAAAAGATATGAATTCAGCAAATGATTGTTATAGAGCAAATGCAATTAGAGTATTAAGTAAAATAATTGATTATTCAATGGCTACTCAGATTGAAAGATATTTAAAAACAGCAATTGTTGATAAAAATGCTTTTGTTTCGTGTTCAGCGTTATTATGTGGATTAAATTTATTTTCAATTGCTTCTTGTGATATTGTAAAAAAATGGATAAATGAAGTTAGTGAATGTATTAATAGCAAAAACCCAATGATACAATTTCATGCATTAACTTTGTTATGCTCAATTAAACATCAAGATAAACTAGCCTTAGAAAAAATTATAAGTTCATATAATAAAACATCAAATAATTTATCAAGTTCTTTAGCAAATTGTCTTTTAATAAAATATGCATCCTATTTAATATACTGTACAGAAGTAGAAAATGAATTAAATAATATGAGTAAATATAATCAAACGAATTATAAGGAAAAATATAATAATATACCTAATTCAATGCATAATATGCAAGATTATACATTCAATAAAAACAACATGATTCATCCAACTACTAAAGTTTGTTTTGATTATTTAAAAATTTGCTTAAAAAGTAAAGATATCATGATTTTATTCGAATGCATCAAATGCATTTTTGATTTAGCTATTCATGATAAAGAAGGCAAAAATACTACTTCCGTATTTAATGTAGACATATTAAATGAATGTATGAAAATTTGTCAGATTTTTTTATTATCATCAAAAACAGTAGATAAATTTAGTATAATAAGACAACTTAATAAATTATCTCATCATAGACCACATGTAGCCTCTAGATTAAATCAAGATATAGAAAATTTATTAATAGATAGTAACAAAAGTATATGCGTTTTAGCATTTACAACTCTTCTAAAAACAGGAAATGAATCAAATATAGATAAATTATTAAATCAAATTAATAATTATATGAGTGGTGATAACAGTTTTTTTAAAATTCAGATTATTGAAGAAGTAAAAAATTTATGTTTTATTTATCCAAATAAATGCAACATTATTTTAAATTTTTTATCAAATAATTTGAGAGATGAAGAATCATATCAATTTAAATCAAATACAATAGATGCAATAATCTTAATAATAAGTCAAATACCCAATTCAGAAGAAACAGCAATATTACAACTATGCGAATTTATAGAAGATTGTGAATATAACTCTTTATTATTGAGAGTTATCAGATTTTTATTATTACATATTCCTAAAACAAAAAACCCATCTAAATATATTAGATATATTTATAATCGTTTAATTCTAGAAAATCCAACTATAAGAGTTGATGGAATGTATGCTTTGTTTCATATTGCTCTAAAATGTGCTGAAAATTCTAAAGATATTTTATTTTTGTTAAAATGTTTATTAGCAGATAATGATGATGAGGTAAGGGATAGAACTAACTTTTTTTATTATATTCTTAATGAAAAAATAAAGGAAATGGAGTTAAACAAAAAAAATAATTTACTAGAAATGAACAATGATCAGAATATATCATTAATTGATGATTTATTAACATTTGATAAATCGACAGATATTGATCATTTATTATATTTTATTACTAATCATATAAAAGAAAATATAAGTGAAGAATTTCATTATGAAAAATTAAAAGATGAAATAATTAAGAGTAATGATATAAATAAAGATACACTTTATATAAAAAAAAAAAGTTCTTATACAGAAATGTTAAATAATGTTAGTATGACAAAATTTATTGAAATAACAACTGATTCTATATATTCGGAAAATATTTCAAGTTTTATAGAAAAGTATAATATTGGCAATTTAAAAATTATTAATAAATCAATACCACTAACAGAAAGTGAAGCTGAATATACAGTTTTTGTAAAAAAATACATTTATGAGAATCATATTATATTAGAATTTACTATTCACAATACGTTAAGTGAGCAAATATTATCTAGAGTGGCATTACAGATGAATACCTATGAAAATAGATGGTCTGTATTAGAGCAAACTACTATTGACAACTTACATTATAATACTCCTAAAAACTTATATGTTCTCTTAAAAAAGAATTCTACTTTTTCGAATAACGAACTAAATGAGGATTCTTATAATGTTAATCAAAATTTTCAAATTTCTTTGCATTTTTTAGCAAAAGAAAATGAAATGGATGATGGATTTCCTGACTCTTATTCTATTAATCCCATTAGTATACAAATAACTGATTTTATTATTCCCAAAATGTTAAGAAATGGAGAATTTAAACATATATGGGAGAGTATGAATAATTTGAATTCTGAATCAGTTAGTAAATTTAGCTTAAATTTTGAAAATATCCAATCTGCTGTTGTAGGATTATTAAACACACTAAATATGATGGCATGTGATAATACAGATAATGTGGAAAGAAATGCAACAAGTCATAACATGTTATTATCAGCTAAATTTTTAAATGAATCAAATGTTTTATGTAAAGCTTCTTTAATTCTTTCACAACAGTATGGTTGTTTATTAAAAATTATATGTAGATCAAAAAATAAGTTTTTATCAGATTATATTTTAAAATCATTAGAATAATTTATTGAATGTTTATGTCTTTTAATTTATATAAATTACCACTCTTTTAACAGGATATATTTTAATATTATATCCTTATACACATATTTATATAACCTAATAAATTTAGTACTTTTTTATATATTTTTTACTTTTTTTTTTTTTTATTTTTTTGCTCATATTTGTAGGATTTTTTTTTTTTTTTTTTTTATTTGTTTTTATGTGATAATTACTTAATTTTAAATTTGTTATATTAGTCATGTTACCATTTTAAAAATGTAAGTATTAATAATTTTTTTTTTTATTTAAACATAATTATTTAAAAATTGCTAAGGACTTTACCTATATTTAATAATATATGAGTAATATGTTTCAGTTTAAATATTCTTTAATGAATAAATGGTTTTTTTATTATTAACTCTTTTCATATTTTTTATTTTTACGTATTCCTGAATTTTTATTTTTATATGAAGTAATCTTGTAAAATTATTTTTACGTGTTTTATTTCCATACTTTATATATTTTCCTTTTTCTTTTTTATAATTATTTTTTGATATTTTTTTTTTTTTTTTTAAGGTTTTAAGTAAAAACATACTTATATTTTTATTTAATTTTTTCTTTTTTTTTTCTAAAATTTAGTATATGAATGTACTACTTAATTTAATATAAATTAAATAGTAATTAAAATGATCTTATATATTACTAGAAATACAAAATTTTATATTTTAAGGGAAAAATAAAAAATATTAGAATTATCCTAGTAAAAAAAAAAAGATAATAATAATATTTCATATATTAATCTAAAGTTTTAAAATTTATAAAGAAAATTAAAAAATAAAATTACATAGTATGATTCTCCTTTATTGTAATTAAGTGGAAAATAACAAATTTTTTATCCATATTTTATAAAAGAAAGAAATTTAATTCAAAACATTTCAATATATTAATTTTTTTTTTTTAAAAAAAGCACTATATATGAAAAACTTCAATAAAATATTTATTTTATTTTTAATACCTTTTACATTAATTTGATAATATTACTAATTAGAAGCAAATTTATGTTAACCTTTAATTTAAAATTAATTTGAATTATTATGAAATTAATATATTAAAAAAAAATACATACAGTTTAAATAAAAAATAAATATTTTAGAAAATTTATATTAATATATATAAATTCTATATTATAAAAAATTTCATATACTTAAATTATTTAGAAAATGTATTTCTATATTTTCTATAAATTTTTTTATATTCTATAAATAGGGTTAGATAAAGCTACACCTTTTTGAGTATCTTAAAATATATATCTAATAATTTTTTTTAAATAATAATATATTTTATAACTTTTTAATTATTTTTTAGTTATTTCAACTTTATTAATTTTAATAAATTGCAACTCAAAAAAAAAAAAAAAAATAAAATAAAATAAAATAGAATATATATTAACTTTGGTTTATCTTTATTAAGAACAATTAACATCTTATTTTAATGTGTGCAATTGAAATAAAACTTGAATTTTAAATAATAGAAAATAAATGAATTAAATTTTATAGAAATTATATAAAAATAAATTTATATTTTTTCCTTTTATATTTATTTTTACTTTAAATAAATGTTTATTATTTTTAACAACTCTTAGATTTATTCTATTTTTTCTGTGCCGAAAGGAGCATATTAAAAAAATACTTAAGAGCCATAACAACTAATTTATTTTCATTTTTTAGATACGACTTCTAGTTATTAAATTGTAATAATTAGTTATTAATGAAATAAATTAACTATTTTATTTTACTTTTTCTATTAAAAGAAATATATAATTAAAAATATAAATGTTTATATTCAATATTTTTATAATAGAAAAAAAAAAGTTTTAATATAATTAGTTAATTATAATAAAATAATATTAAAGTGTACATTTCATATAGAGATAAAAAAAATCATTTCATAAATTTTTTTTTATAATTTCATTTAAATTCGTAATATTTCTGTAAAAAATAATTAAGAAAATGAATATAGATGAAGAAATTTTAAAGCATAAATATATTTTAAGGAATTCAAACTATAATTCAAAAAAGAAACATAGTAAATTAGTAAGCAAAAATAAATATTTAGAATATTCATATTCTAGTCCTGTTGTTATAAAGTTAAAAAATAAAAAAAGATATTCAAAATTATATGAAATAATTGATATTCATAAATCTCCTCATAAAAAAAAAATTGATATAAATACAACAATATCATCATGCAAAAAATCAGATGAAAAAGCAATTAACTTAAAAGAAAGACCTTTAAATAAAAAATTAGATAAAGAAACATATTATCAAAACAATTATTCTTTAAAAAAAAATTTAGATGAAAATACATATTATTCTAATAACAGTAATTTATCAAATGTACAAAAAAGTAATATAATAAAAAAAAAAAAAGGAACTTTAAAAAAAATAGAAAAATCAAACATAAATAACTCTAATACTTATAATATACAACAACTAAATGAAAATTTTTATTTCAAAGAGGATAATGATATAAAAGAAAATTCTAATGAAGTGAAACTAAGTATAAATAATAGCAAATGTCTAAAAAGCAACTATATTTTAAAAAAGTTAAATGGAGAAATAAAAGAATTAAACATTAAGGATGCAAGTAGCATTTTAGAAAATTATATTCCTTATCAAAATAATAATATATCTACAGAAAATAAATTTAAAACTAAAAGATCCCTTTCATCTACAATTAACAATTTAGAAGACTTAAATAATTTACCAATAGTTTATGAAGAAAGAAACTTAGATTTAGTAAAAAAATGTAGAGAAGCATCAAAAAAAAAAATCATAAATAAGTAAAAAAAATATATAAATAAAAGATAATTAAATTTCATATTTTTTTTTTATATTCAAATAATGTAAATTGTTTATATAATAGAGTTTCTTTTATTTTTACATTAAAAAAAAGAAATTTTATAAATAATTTTTTTTTTTTTTTTTTCTTCTACTAAATAAAAAGATATTGTTCTAAAAGTAAAATACCTTCAAAAATTAAGCTTCCCATTAAAAAAAGCTTTAAAATATTAACTAATTCAAATTTAAGTATATAAAAATGAAATTTTCAAAATAATAATTAAACATAAAAAATATTTGATTTTTTTTTTTTTTTTTTTTTTTCTTTTTAAAGAGTTAAAATACGGAGATTGCTGCTTATATAAGGAAAATGAAAAGAAAAAAAGACCAAGTACTACTTTTAATTATTCTTCTAAAAAATATAGAAGTTTAAGTTGCATTAATATGAATAATGTTAATCATAATGATAAAAACAAAAATAGAGAAATTTCACAAAAATCATTATTATGTAATTCAGAAGAATTTTACACAACTCCAATAGGAGAAGCAAAATTATGTGGTTTTGAAAAGGAATTAATGAAATTTAAGTCAGTCCAGGTATTAATATAAAAGAAAAATTATAAAAAAATATATTGACAACAAGAAATATTATAAATTACTTTTATAATAATTTTCCTTTTTCTTTTAATTTTTTTAATATAAGAATAAAATTAATATATTTCATCCATCTCAAGTAAACTATAATAAAACTATTAATTCTTCAAACATTAATTCTGTTAAAAAAAATTTAACTCCATTGGTTTTGAAGCACTCAAAAAATATGATTTTGAGCAAATTAAAAAGTATAATTATATTTTTTAAAAAAAAAAAAAAAAAAAAAAAAGATTATAATTATTAACTTATTTATTTTATTTTAATTTTTTTTTTTTTTTTTTCAAATTTACCATTAGAATTGAAACCTAAAAAAATAAATAATTCAAAATATAGAAGTAGTTCTTTAGTAGATAATATTTTAGGGAAAGAGAATTTTTCAAAATGGAACCTTTTAGAAAATAATGAAAGCTTAAAAAATACTACTAATTTCAAAATAGAAAATAAAATAATTAATGAAAAAAGGAAAAGTAAAATATCTAGCGAAAATGAGGATCTGTATATATTAAATTATAATAAAAAGTTAAATCAATCTAAAAATTTAAATTCTGGAAAAAATGAATCTCCATTTCAAATTAATGAACGAGATTTAACATTGTCAAAAGTAAAATATTTTTTTTCAAATAAAAGTTTTATTTTTTTAAATTATTTTATTTAGAATATATATATATATATATATATATATATATATATATATATATATATATATATATATATATATATATATTATTTTTAAGACATTGTTTTTTGTTATTTACAAAGTTGAATTTACTTTTGTAATGTATTTTACAATGATTACATTTTTTTTTCCTTTTTTTAGATATTAGCAGAAAAACCAATTGTGAAATCAACCGAAAAAAAAAAAGTGATAGAAAAAATAAATGACTATAAAGTGATATACAAAAGTGAAGATTTTGTAGGCATTTATAAAAGTAATGAAGATAATGAGAAGAAGAAAAATTTCATTGATTTCACTAGTTTACTATGTAAGCCAGGATACATTGGAGACTATTTATGTGAAACAACCTCAACCATTAATCTCTCCTATATAAAAAAAAGAAAAGAAGAAAATAAATATAAGAAGATATCAGAAGATAATAATAATGAAAATGAAAAAATAAGAGAAAATAATACTAGTTTTAATAATGAATATTATACAAAAGAAAATATGGCAAAAGGAGAAAGTGAGAAAATAAATGTAGAGCATCAACACCAACCAAATGAAACTACAAAATATAGAAATATATTTGAATTAAATAAAAATGAAAATGATGAAATTTTATATTATTTAAAAGAAGCTGTAAAAAACTCACCAACAATTAATGTAGATTTACAGTATATAATGATTATTTTTAATGAAATATTAGAGAAGGAAAAAAAAATAAAATATAAAAAAGAATTATTATCTACTGATATAAATGAAATAAGTGTAATAAATAAAAATATGAGAAATAATCAAATTAATAATCATTATAATAAGTATATTCAAACAAATGATTATTTAAAAAGGCCTCATATAAATTATGACATATATAATAATAATTTAAGATGCTCCAATAACATTTTAAATAAGAATGTGTTATATAACTCTCGTGATAATAAAATTAAAAATAACAAAAATAGCATATCTAATTCTTATAACAGTTACATTATAAATAATTTAAGTAATGGAAAAGCAACATTAAGTCATACCAATAGCAGATGTATAAGAAATATGAATTCTTTGAGTAATAAGAAAAATCTAGAAAATTTTAATAATTTTTATGAATTAAATAAATTAGATATAAAAAATTTTGCAAGGTAATAAATATTACTTAATATTTATAATAGTAGAATATTAAATTAGAAATTTTAATAATAATTCCTTTCTATATTAATTTTCAAATACTATATACTTGAAAAATAATAATAAAAATAATAATATAAAATAATTTAAATTATAAATGAAATATTAAAGAAATAATATTTATTCCATTATTCCATATAGAGAAAAAAAAAGTATCACAATTTAAATTTCAAATTTATAATTAAAACTAATGAATAAATAATTTAAATAATTTTCTAAATATGATAATTTTAACAATTCAATGAATTTCAGAAAATTTATCATGGAAAATTCTATGTAAAAAAAAAAAAAAAAATAGATAATTCTATTAATAAAAAAAAGTAAAAGGAAATTTAATAAATTAGTTAATCAAAATAATAATTACTTAATATATAAATGAAGTATTAAAAGAATATTTACTTTATTTTAAAAATCTTATCAAAAAGAAAACTATTATTATATAGGATAAATTAATTAGTTTTTCTATAACGTATTTCTTAAAGTTTATAAATACTTTTTTTTAAGTTTTTTCTATTTAGATTAATATTATATGTTAAATTTTTTTTCTTTTTTGTAACTACAAAATTAAGATATTATTATTATCTAATTTATTTATGTGTATTTATTTTTTTCTATTTATTATACTATCCTGTGATATACCTTTTTTTTAAAACTAATAATGATTCAATACATGTATATTATTATTTTCTTTTATTTTTTTTTATATTTAAAATTCTAATAATGTAGCAACATTAATCAAAGGTTAAAATTATGTAAGACAAAACGTTTTCTTTAAATTTAATTTTATTATTAAATATACTAATATATGATAGTATTGCATATTTTAAATGCTTATTATTATCTTACATTTTTATTCTCCTAAGTAGAAATAACAGAAAATTAAAATTTAAATTAAAATCATGTGAATAATTATAATTTAATGAATTTACCCACTTAAAAAAAAAAAATAATAATTGTCAAATATTAAAAAATATGCATATATTTAATAAGTGTATTTTATTTTATTTTATTTTTTTTTTTTTTTTTGATATATAAAAAACTTATAACTATATTGTTAAACCTTAGAAAAATTACACTGTTTTAATTTTAAGAAAATGTTGAAAAAAATAATTAAATATATTCATATATGTATGTATATATATACATATGTATAATGCTTAAGTTTTATCTTTTTTTTTTTTTTTCTTATTTATTTACAGATTGCTGCAGTAATTAAAATATATATACTAGTACCAATTAAAAAAGATAATAAAGTTTTTTAATAATATAATATATATAAAAAATTTCATTTTTTTATTACCATTTTTAGTCTAAATATAATACTTCAATAATTTACTATAATTTTTATTATGTTTTTTAAACTTGGTAACTTTAATAAATTAATTCTTCTTAGATTAAAATTTCTTAATATATTAGTCAAGAAAAATAAATGGTAATTATTTCATATTATGCTTTATATATTTCATTATTTTTAAATTTATTATGTATAGTCCAAACTAATAAATAATAATGGGAATAAAAATAACTGTAAAAATTATATTTATCATAAAAAAAAATTAAAATAAAAAATATAATAAAATAAAACAAAAGTAAAATGAAACATCTTCAATTATTTAAATGTTATTTAGAATACGATTGTGCTTTAATGTGATTTTAAATATTTTTTACTTTTATATAAAACTTAAACAGTATTTAGTTAATATTCTAAAAAGTACAACAAAAATATATTTTCTTTTAGGAAATTTTTTTTTTTAATTTTTAATATGATAATAAATGACTTTTTTTCTTTCTAAGATGTTAAAAAAAAAAATTGTATATTAAAATTTTAACTGTTATTTAAATATTTGAGAGGCACATTTTTATTTAAACTAATAATCATATACATGTGCTCATTTAGTTGTTTTTATTATCATATAATTTTGCAAAAACAAAAAAACAAAAAAAAAAAAAAAAAATATATAATTAAGTTATTTTAAAAATTTATTACTTTAATATCTTTATATTTTTGTACAATTATTATATATATATTTTTTTTTTTTTTTTTTTTTTTTTTTTTGGCTATATTAAAATTCTTTTTTTTTTAAGTAAAGTTTGGTAAAAATATATGAGTAAATAAGTATATGTATATCAATAGGAAAATTAAGCAACTGAAAATATTATGGATAAAGCATATTTATTTTTATAACATATTGTTTTTTTTTTTTTTTTTAATATTAAGATATTTATTCTTTATTATCGTTTTATATCATTTAATGATGGATGAATTTCAGAGTACTATATAATAAAAAATATAATTTTTATTTATATTAAATGAAATATAAGAAGATATAGTTTAAAATATTATATATATATTTAGTCTAAAAAGTATTATTAAACTTTAATAATTTAACAATGTTATAATATTATGTTGCATATTAATATAATACCATAAATAAGTTCACAAAAATTTTACACAATTATTCAATATTTATTAGTATTCTAATTATTTATTCATTATTATTATTATATCATTTTATTTTCTTTTTTTTTTTTTCTTATTTAGATTCAGGATTAAATAAATATAAACTTGTTTTTTTAGGAGAAGTAATAATAAAAATGTGAATTAAAATATAAACTTTTTTTAATACTCTTATTATTTTATCCTTATTTATTTTTTTTTTTTATTCCAGCAAGCAGTTGGTAAAACATCAATAATTACAAGATTTATGTATGATACATTTGACAATAATTATCAGGTAAATAGAAAAATAAAGAATTAAAAATATTTATGTAAGAATTTATATACCTGACTTTTTTGAATATTATTTTTATATATTCATATATATATTCTTTTCCAGAAAAATAAAAAGATAAATACTTTTTTTTTTTTTAATATATATTAATTGTACAAAGTCAGCAATTTTTTTTTTATGTTCATAAATTCATATGCATATGTTAATATTTTTTTATATTAATACATGTATGTGTGTGTGTATTTCTTTTATTTTCCTTTTTTTTGTTTAAGTCTACTATTGGTATTGATTTTCTCAGTAAAACATTATATTTGGATGAAGGGCCAGTTCGATTACAGCTATGGGATACTGCAGGTCAAGAAAGATTTCGAAGTTTAATTCCAAGTTATATTAGAGATTCAGCTGCAGCCATCGTTGTATATGATATTACAAATAGACAATCATTTGAAAACACAACGAAATGGATTCAAGATATTTTAAATGAAAGGGGACAAGATGTTATAATTGCATTAGTAGGAAATAAAACAGATTTAGGAGAACTAAGAAAGGTTACTTATGAAGAAGGATTACAAAAAGCTCAAGAATATAATACTATGTTTCATGAAACAAGTGCCAAGGCTGGTCATAATATAAAAGTATTATTTAAGAAAATAGCATCAAAATTACCAAATTTAGAAAATACTAACACAAATGAAGCCAATGTTGTTGATATTCAATTAACTAATAATTCAGCTCAGAATGAGAAGAGTATGCTCAGTAAATGCTTATGTTGAAATTTCAAAATACATATATATATAAATTAGCTTTTTTTTTTTTTTTTTTTTTTTTTTTTTTTTTTTTTTTTTTGCAATTACTATCAATATTTAGTAAATTGTATACCTCATTTTTCATCGAATTTTTAATAAATTTTTTATAATTAAGAATAAAAAATTAAAATATTATAATTTTTTTTTTTTTTTTATTCATAATAAGAAATGTTAAAATTTATTTCATTTCAAAATATTTTGATTTTTCTTCTTTTTCTTGTATAAAATTTAGATGATTTATTAAAATCATTATCACTATCATTAATATCACTACTATTTTTGTTAATATAATTATTATTATAATGTCTTTAATCATTAAATTATATTTAATCAACATAATTATAGCTGTTTTTATTGTTAGTAATTTTGCTATTTTCCATTATTCTGAAAAATGATTTTAATATAAATTGAATTTATGATTTTTTTTCTATCTTTTTTTTAGAATATTATTTGTAATCAACATATTTCTAATTATTTATTTATTTATTTTTTTTTTTTTTTCTTTTCCTATATATTTTATTTATTGATATTTTTATATAATTACAGTAATTTCATTTTTAAAAAAATTTTCATTTTATTTTACATATTTTTCCTTTGTGTTTTCCAAGAGTTTCTTTTTATATATTATATTATTAAATGTTTCTATATATATTATAAATTTTTCGTTTATAGCAACATCATCATATATATATTCAAAATAATTTTTTCTATATAATTAATTTTACACATATATACATACACATAATTTTATTAATAAAAAAATTTTGCGTGTTGAAAAAGTAAAACATGTATAAATTTAACTATAATGTTGAACTTTTTTTAATTAAAATAAAGCATAAGTTATTTTCAAAATCATAATTAATTATATTTATTTTTTTCTTTAGTAGAGTTTCTTTTAAATCATCATATTTTTCTTTCATGTAAAATGATTTAGAATTTTTAATTTGTTCTAAATTAACATTATTCGTTTTTTCCTTTTTTGTACATGCTTCTTTTAAACTCTCTCTAGAATTAGAATAATGATCAGTACTTTCTTTTTCTGTGTATAACATATTGTAATTCTTTCTGTAAATTTTTAATGTCTTTTTAATTTCTAGATAGTCTTCTTCTATAGGATTAAAATCAAGAAAAATAAAATTTTCAGAATTTACTGCTTTCTTCATGCAACCATCTTTGAGTATGTTTTCATCTATATTTGAATATGAATAATTTTCATTTTTAATTAAATGTACATCACTTGATTTTAAATTAGATTCTTCTATTTTAATAACACATTTATCTATTTTTCTTTTTTCTTGATTTAATCCTAAATTATTTTCATTCTTTTTCAAATTCGCATCGTCTGATTTTAAAATTTTTTCTTTTTTTTTAATAATATATTGATCATTATTTATATTTTTTTTTTTGTCTGTATCTTCATTAGTGATACTACTATTCACATTGTAATTTTTTGGTTCAATTTTTTTTGAAAAATTGTTAATTTTATAATTAAATATATCACCTCTATTATTATATATATCATAACATTCACCTTTTTCAATGCTATTTTTATTATCTTTTTTATTTTTTTCTTCATTTTGGAATAAATAATTTTCTTTTTTGGTATTATTTAAATCATTTATTTCTAAATCTGTTTTCTTGATATCATATAAAATAACATTTCTATTTTTGTTTTTTGGTGTATTTTGTTTGATATTATTCTTTGTATTATTATTTGTTATATTATCCTTTTTTTTTTCAGAAGTTTTCATATTGTAATTTTGCGTTGTTTGATTTATATTATTACAATTTTCTGAAATGGCTTCTTTTCCATTTTCATCATCTTCAATATTAAAATAGATTAAATCTTTTTTTTTTTCAATTCGAATAATATCATTTTTAGGTGCTATAATATTTTCTAACATTTCACTTTTCACTTTTCTTTTTTTCTTAAACTTATATAGATCATTATCATATATTATATTTCGATTAATGTTATTCATTTTTATGAAATTTTTATTTATATTTTTTTTAATGTTGTCATCCATGAGTAATTTTTGACTTTTTTCAGATAAAAAAATGTTATTTCTATCTAACGCATGAAAATAATTGCGTCTTAAGCATTCTGTTTTAATAATATTTAAATTATTATCATAATTTAATATATCTATTTTATTTTCATTTAGATTGTTATATGAAAACTTCTTCAATAATTTTGTTGATGAACATTTGATATTCCTTTTTTTATCATTTGATTCATTTTCTACACAATTACTTATTTCAAATAAATTTATTTCGTTAACATTGTCTTCACTTTTATGTAATTCATTTTCACATTCATTTTCTATTTCATTATTGTTATTATTTAGTAATTCAACTAATGCATTGTGTCCTAATGATCTTATTACATTTTCTTCCTCAGTGTTGTCATTACTTTTATGCTTATTAATATTTTTCATTTGGAAAAAAAAAAAATAGATATAAAAAAAAATTAAAATGGAAATTGTTCTTTTAATTTTTAAAAGACAATAAAGATGGTAAAGCTTAATATAAAATCACAAAAATAGAACAAATATATATAAGGAAAATGAAAAATAAACTTTTCAGCCACAAAAAAAAGAAACAAAAAAATAATTTTATTAATTATTTAAATTAACAAATGAAAAAGATACAAAAAAAAAAATGATAAATTATATAACATCTAAAAATGCAATGATTTTGTATTCTCCAAAATATTAATTAAAAAAAGAGATATAAAAATAAAAAAAATATTATATAATTTGAAAAAAAAAAATTTTGGATTAAATTTTATGTATCTATAAAATTAATTTTTCATTTTCTATAATTTAGTATTTTTTATCAAATTCTTTGTTTTTCGTTTTTCCACAAATAAACATAAAGCACATTGGTAAAATTTAAGTATTCATTTAGATAAAACAAAAAAAAAAAAAAAAGGAAAATTCATTGTTTTTTTTTTTTTTTCTTTACTTTATTTTATTTTGTTTTATTATTTTTTTTTTTTTACCTAAATTATGTAAAATTTTGCGTTGTTATAAGGCTAATAAATAAAATTGATAAACAAAATTACATTATTATTTTTTCATTTTTTTTTTTTTTAATATCATTATAAATGTATATTATTTTTATCAAAGATAAAAAGTTCAAATGAAAGATTTAAGTTTATAAAAGAATAAATATAAATTACAACTGATTATTTTTAATCTATTATATATATTTTTTTTTTCTTTTTTTTTTTTTTTTTATTTATAAACATATATAAAAATATAATGTTGATTTAAATATGTTAAACAATTTTGTTAATATGAAATATATATATATATATGTATATATATAAACAAATGAAATAAGATGATTCATTTATATATGGAATCTCTAAGAAATGTTTAATTTTTTATTAATTTTTATTTTAATATATTTTAGCCTAATTAATAATGTATTATCTTTTCAGATTTCCCCAAAAATAAAAACATACAGTTTGAAGAAAATAAATTTTCAAAATTTTACTAATTATAAATATGCAGATAATAAAAGGAAAGTAAACGTTTCTTATTATTTAAAGAAAAATAGAAGTACATATAAATGTATCAGAAAAAAGAAAATTTTTATGTCTTTAAAGAATAAAATTAGTTTAATATTTCATGGAGAAAGTGATATAACGATTTTAGACAAATGTATAGCTTCAATCAGTTACATTCTTCCTTTTATGGATGCTGTTCAAGTATGATAATAAATAAATATGTATATAAATTAAAAAATAAAGATTATAATAAATTAGTTTTCGTTATATTGTCTATAAATAATAAAATAATTTTTTATTATGCGTATATATATATACATTTTTATTTCTTTTGTTTTATCTTTTCACATTTTTTATTTTGCTTTAAAATAAATACAGGCTTTTGTAATGCCGCTTGTAAATATACTTCCAACTTCATTACACAAGTAAAATATTTTTTTAAATGTTTAAATTTCTGACAATAAAAGATATATAAATATAGAAATTAAAAATATGCGTTATATGATTAATATAATGTTTATTATAATATATAATTCCTTTTTTTTATTCATAGGTATTTGTTTCAAATTGAAAAAATAAATCAGATTTATTCGTCTATCCCATTCTTATCTTTTGTTACATTTATGGGATTATATTTCTTATTTGTAAAAGATAATAAATTCAAATTTCACTATTTCATTAAATATCATCATATGGAAGTAAATTTTTCAACATTAAAAGGAAAAAATATATGAACAATTATATTTTAATTTATGAATTTTTAATGATTTTATTTTTCTTGAAAATTTTAAATAAATATGCATAAATTTATATATTTTTTTTTTTTTTTTTTTTTTTTTTTTTTTGAACAAATGTTTATCATTTAACAAAACAGTTATTTCATAAATGTATATATACACTTTTATTTTTAATAGAGTTTGATACTATCTATGTTTGGTTATGCTTTAGCTTTATTTTATTTTAGAGTTTTTCCTTATTCCTATAATGATACTGATATTTTCAATTTAACAATTTTATACTCAACTATGGCAATATATTTTGGCTCATTAATTATTCCTTTTTTTGCATCATTACTTGGATAGTAAGAATAATAATACTAAAAAATAAAATTTTTTTTTTTTTATGAAATTTGCTTTTTTTTTCTAAATATTTTTTTGTAAAATTTTAAGATTACAACATATGTCTATTTTTATAATATAAAATCTAATAAATACATAAACTTTTGTGCATTTTTTCTTATGTATTTACTTTATTAAAACCGTTTATTTCTGTTATAACATATACATATATATATATTTTTTTTTTTTTCACTTTAGCTACATAGAAATACCTGTATTATCGGAAGCAATTAAATTACACATTGGAGAAAAAAAAATTCAGGGAGAAGATATATAATTTTTTTTAAAAATAATTCATATAATACCCTTTTCGTTACTCATTTTTCTTTTTTTTTTTTTTCTTTTTTTTTTATATTAAAATATAAAGATAATCAAAGTTATTAAAAAAAAAAAAAAAAAAAAGTAACAAATGAATATATCTAAGGAATTAATGGATAGCTTATTATAATTTATAAAAAAAATAATATAAAATATAAGCTAAACATTCTTGTTTAATTTTTTTTCCAAATTAATAATTTATATAAAAAAAAAATACTATTTTTAAGATAAAATTATAGTTTTATATAAGTATATTTTTTAAATATATATATATATATATATATAATGTAAAAGAAAAAAACATATTAACTAATGTAATCTTTTAAAAAATATACTGATTTTTTATCTGAAGCCCTTTTTCTTTTAACAGCTATTTCATCTAATATATTTTTTATGTGATTTGAAGGAATATTAAAACTTTTAGCAAAAAAAGAAAAAGGAACTCCTTTTTTTCCTTCTCTTTCAAATATTTTAAACATGCTAATTTTAGTTTTATCTAAATCAAAGATATGAAATTTTTTAGCTTGTTTTGTTTTTTGCTTAGAAGCAGCAGATGAAGAGTTAAAATTATTTTCATTTTCTAACAAAACTCTTTTATTATTTTTATTATTTTTATCTTTATTTAAGTTGTTATTATCATCAGACGTATAATATTTAAATAATGTTTGTGAAGAATCTAAATTCTCTTCATTTCTTGTTTCTATAATAGTATATCTATTTTTTTTTATATTTGTATTATAATGCCTTTCTTTTAATATCAAAGAATAATCTTCATCTAAAAGTGGTAAGAATGAATATGTATGTTCGCAATTTTTTATAACATCTGCGCAAATAACATAATCAAGCTCTTTATTTCGCTCGGAATTTTCGTTTATAGGATTATTTATATTTATTTTTAATTTATTTTGATTTGAGTTTTCAATTGTTTTATTATTTAAATTATTATTAGATGGATTAGTACCTTTATTAGGTTTTAAAGATATTTTATTTTGTTTTAATATATAAGTGTTTATAGTATAATTTTTATTACATGTTAATTTTTTTACTTCATCACTATCGTCTTTCTGTATATATAAATTTGATATTTCATTATTTTTGTGTTCAAATAAACCTACAACATCTCTATGCTTTCTCTTTAACCATTTATTTGAAACAAATTTTGGTACTTTTATCAGCTTTATATTTTTATTTTTGAAAGATATTTTTGGTAATGTATCATTTTCTTTTGAATTTATCATTTTTCAGATGAATGTTTAATTTTTATAAGAATATCTAAAAATAATTCAATGATTTATAAAATAATGAAGTTTTTTCTTTAAAATATATATGAATAATATTATACACAAAAAAAAAAAAAAAAAAAAGTTTAGTTTATGTTATATTTGACGTTTTGTTAATAATTAATTTTTCGTTTGTTTTCTATTTATTTAAAAATGTATTATAAATTGTAAGTCCTTTTACAAAAAAAAAAAATAATTTTAATAAAAATAACGATGCATATATATATATATATATATATATATTTATATTTATATTGACTGCTTGTTATGCTACTTTAATTTTTTGAAAAAATCTTTAAAAAATAATTAAAAAAACTATAAATTATTCATATTAATTTTTTAAAAAATTATATTATTTTCATTTATGTGGGAAGATAATATTATCTTTGTAATTTAAAATAATTTAAAGAAAAATAAAAAAAAAAAAAAAATTTTTTTGTCAAAATAAAGGCAAAAAAGAAATCCTTTATTGAGATAAAATTATAAATTTTTGTTGAAACATTCAAGATAAAAATATAAATGAATAAACGTTTCATAAATAATAAAAAATATATTTTATTTTATTTTATAAAATTACAAAATAATTTAATGTCAGAAAAATTTTAAGTAAAAAGAAAACATTTATGTATAAATACAAAAATTAAATAATATATACAAATAATAAAATTTATCAGTACACATAATTATTGAGACAATATTTATCGTCTAAAAAATTTTACTAAAAAAAACTTCAATAACATTGTAAGTTAAAAATAGCTGTTAAAGAAAAAAAGTTTTTGACATAATATATATTCAAAATATTTTATACTTTTAATATAAATGTAAAAAAAAAAAAAGAAAAATTTTTAAATATTAAAAAAGTTTGACCCCAAAAAACATGAATGTTTTTTAAGATAAAAAATTGAAAGTGTCTAACATCATGAAAAATGTAAATTTATTTCCATATAAGTAATATAATGAGGCATATGTAAATTTCGTAATAGAGAATTTATATATATATATATATATACACTTTTCTTATTACGTATAGAAATAATTCCATATTCATTTTAAAGTAATTTTTTCTTCTTTTGACAAGTATTAACTAATTACTAACTTTTATTATTTTTTAATACTCGTAATTTTTCATAATATAGTACCTTTTTTTTAAACTTAAAAAGTATGTGTGCATATATATATTTTAATAATTTCAAAATTAATAATTTTCATGAAATCATAGCTGTACAAGCAATATTTTGGTTCATATCAAAAACACAAAAATTTGGTATAGGCTCATGCTGTTTTGACACAAACTTTCGAATTTCTTGAGCAGTTATACCACCCATTATTGAACAAGATGGAGAAAATGTAACCTTATACATTTTTGTAATTTCTTTTAAAATTTCATCATTATTAAGTGCAAACTCATTACAAAAATTATAAAATTCTTTTTCATCAATTTCCTTTTTATCTTTACTGAACTCTTTATGTTGTTCAAATAGTATTAAGGCAAACATATAAAAAATTATATGATTTGTTTTTTTGTGAAAATTTTTGAAAGATACTTTTAAAAAATGAGATAACTTACAATACTCTATTTCAATTAATTTATTACTTTTTTCATCATTTTTTTTTGTTTTGTAATAAGATTCTTCTATTGTATGATTGCCGAAATCAGAAAAAAGAAATGCATATTTTCCGTTACACATTGGAGCAAAAAAACCAATATTTTTTTCGTGACATATTTCATTTATATTTATTAACTTATATAATGGATAATCTTCGCATGAAATACATACAGAAGTATAATTATTTATAAAATTATTTATATTAAAACATTCATTTATTTCTTCATTTTCTATTCCTTCTTCTTTATATATTAAATGTTTATCAAGAATGATATTATCATTCACAATATCTATTCTACCAATATAAGCATTAATGTTTATTAATTGATTTATACTTTTCAATTCCTTAAAAATTGATAAACAAACATACTTTCCATTGTCTGATTCATCAAGAAAAAAAATATTTTCTCTCATCTCTTCATCAACAATGTTATCATCAATTATTGTTATATTAATACCATTTAATATCAAATTCTTACATATTTCTATATTAATACCACTTAATCCGATAATTAAAACATTGGATTTCATCATACGATTTTGTGCTTTCACTCCCCATAATCTCAATTGACGATCATATATTTTTTCTTTTTCCCACTCTTCATTATCCCTCATTATTTATTCTATTTTGAAATATTTTATACAAAATTATGAAAACTTATAAAAAAAAATGAGAAGGAACAGTTAAAGATGGAAAAATATAAAATGAATTAATATTCATCAAATGAAATAAAATAAAATAAAATGAAAAAAAAAAAAAAAAAAAAAAGATTAAATCATATATAATAAAATATAAAAAATAAAAAAGCAAAATGTGAAATTATATAAAACAATGTCAAATAGGATACAATAAAATGCATGAAATAAAATATAAAATGCATGAAACAATATAAAATAATTATATAAAAAATTAAATTGAATTTAATAAAATAAATAAAAGGAAGTAAATCAGAATGTCGTAAATCTTGAAAAATAATTAAAAAAAAATAATAATAATAATAATAATATTGTTATTTTTATAATAATAATAATTATTATTATTATTATTATAAGTAGTAGTAATAGTAGCGGTAGTAATAGTAGTAGTAGTAATAGTTGTAGTAATAGAAGTAGTAGTAGTATTAGTAATAGTAGTAATAGTAGTAATAGTAGTAGTAGTAGTAGTATAACCACTAATATTGTAATAATAGTTATTTTTATTATTATTATTATTATTATTTTATTTTATTATTTCTCTTTATACGAGTAAGATCTAATTATTCCAGTTTCTTAAGAAATATTAACAAAAAATAATATTATTTTTATTTAATTACTTCAAACGTATTAAAATTAATCATTAAAATTAATCATAAATAATTGTGCCAATACTTTTTTTTCCTTACATTTTAATTTTACATTTATTTATTGTAGCTATATCTTTAGTAGACTTATCTAATAAATAAAAATTACAAGAAAAATTATCTATACATTATTTAATATTAAGAACAATTCATAAGGTATCCTTGGAAATATAAAATTAAAAAAATATATAATATATATACTATTTAAAGCAAATATAAATAAATTAACTTGATTCAAATAAGGCTAAAATTAAAAGTTAAAAATTTTTTTTTTTTTTATATTAAGTAAAAGTTTATATTAAAAACAAAATAAAATAATCATAAAATTGCTGCCACAATTATTTCAATGAAAATAAAAATAAAAATTAAAGAAATTTCAATTGATATTGTGTTATAAAAGAGTTATGTCTTTTTTTATTTTTGTTATAATATTTTAAAATTATTAAATAAATTAAAAAAAAAAAAAAATTTAAAGAAACTTACATTTTTTTTATACATTAAAATATTCTTGAAATAATAAAAATAAATGTTTTTATTTTAATATCTTTTAGTGAAAATTTCAAAATTCAAATTTATTATAATAATGAAAATATATCTTTTATATAAATGATTATATTTCACTTTTTTTTTTTTTTTTTTTTTTTAAACAAATAAAAATATAAATTAATGAGAAATTAAAAACATAGATGACATAACTTTTATGATATATTTCTTAAAAAAATTTTAATGAGATATAATTAGAAAGTAAAACATCTATATAAAAAAAGCCTATTATCATATACTGTCTAATTTTTTTAATAAAAATATTATTATACCGAAAAATAACGAAAAAAAAAAATAAAAATAAAGTTATCTGGTATATGATAAATATTATTAGACATTTTTTAAAAAAAAAATTATTGTAAATTTAAAATAAAATAACAATAGTGTGTAGCAATTAACATTAAAACAAAAAAAAAAAATATATATATATATATATATAAGGAAAAATTACAAAAAAAGACATTAATTACATTATTAGCATTTAAAAAAAAAAAAAAAAAAAAAAAAGATATTTATTTTTTTTTATTGGAAATTTTATGCAATATAAATATATGCATATGAATTTTCTTTTAACTTTTTAAATGGAATTTTTTTAATTCATCAAGAATATATTCGCTTAATATTTTTTTATCTTCATTTTTAATTGCATGAATTTTACAAAAAATATCAACAATATATAAGGGATCTTCATCTTCACGAATAGCTAATGAGGCAATTTTATTTTCAGATATTTTTATTTTTGTTTCAAAATAAACTGGTTTTATCTTTACTTTATAAAATCCTTTATCAAAACTAAAAGGAGAAACTTCCGTTTTTTCAATTCCATTCATATTGTTATATGGAATTCTGTATTCTAAAAAGTCATTTACTCTTTTTTTTTCTTCAATACCTTTTTTAATTCTATCTACTGTTTTTTTATATCCTCTTGGTAATTTGGATAAATATATTTTATCATTATTATTTATTAACGGATGAAATATACACTCTCTTTTTAATTCTTCTTCTTTTAATTTTTCTAATTCATATTTTTTTTTTTTTAATTCTTCATTCTGCTTTAAACCCTTCCAATATAATATTTTGTTTCTATCTATTCTATGTTTTTTAGTAATTTCACCTATTTGATCATTATTTTTTTTAATTTCATTTATGATTATAGTTGAACACATATTTCTATAATTTGAATTTTTATTAAAGTAATTTTCTTTTTTATCTTCACACGAAAAATTATTTACAAGTGTACTGCTTTTTTTATTAAAAGTAGCGTAACTACTGCTACTACTTCTACTATTATTTTTATTTTGTTTCTCTAATTGATTCAAATTATTTAATGCAATATTTTCTTCTCCTTTATAAAAATTATTTTTATTAAAATTATCAGTCATATTAAAGAATTCTTTATTATATATATTTATTTCTTTTTTTTTTGTTATATCAGTCTTTTTCATTTTATTGGTATATAAAGAAGGATGAAAGGTACAACCTACTAGCTCTTTTTTTTGGGCTTCTTCTTTTTTTTCTTGAATTTTTTTTTTCTTTTCTTTTTCTCTAGAATTTACTTTACTAAGCCATTTTTGTAATCGGGAGTTATCTTCTTCCTTTCCTTTTAAAATTAAAAAATCCCTTTGATCAAAAGTATTTTCATTAGTTTTAACAAATATACTGTTTTTCATATTATCATCTATACTATCTGAAATATTTTCATTATATATACTATCAAGTTCATTCTTATCATTAAGATTATATTCATTAATGATGTTCTTAAAATTATTCAATTTCCTACTGTTATTCTCCGTTTTTTTCTTTGAATAATTTCTGTTAAACTTGTTAACAATTCCTTCTTTTTTTTTTTTTTTTAAATCATAAAAAACATTTTCTTTATTTTTATCTTTTATCAAATTGTTATATTTATCACTTTCCTTTAATGAAATTTCATATTCTTCTTTTGATGAATATCTCTCTAATTCTATACTTATATCTTTATTATTTAAAAGACTCTTTTTTTTTCCCATTTCATTTTTATCAAGGTAATTTTCTTTTTTTATTGAATATATTTCATTTATGCAAGGAGGAGAAAGATTATTAATACAAATATTATGGTCATCATTATTGTTAACATAATTATTGTCTAATTTCTTTTTTATGTTATTACAACTATGATTTTTTTTTTCATTATATTCATTCAAGGAATAATCAGTGGAGTAACTATTATTATCATTTTTATAATAATTTTTTTCATCTTCATTAGAAATAAAGTCATCTTTAATTGATTCTAATTTATTTATTCCATTCCTTTTTACAATACTTCTTTTTTTTTTATGTTCTGCTAATTCTCCTAAATTATAGCATTCATTTTCCAATTTCTCTATTTTCTTGGTGGGGTTTTCATTTTTTGCATAATTATTCAATTTCTTAGAGTCTTTTTCTTCTTTATATAAATATTTATCTGATTTTAAACTATAATTATTATTTTCTTCATTTTGTACACATTTATCACTAAAATAATTAATATCAACATACTCTTGTAAAATGTCGTTATCTTTATCATTATTGAAATTTTCAGAAACATCATTTTGTATTTTTCTATAATTATTCATATTTAATTTAATATTATCTATTTTATTTGTATATTTATTACTTCCAACCTCATCAGTTTGATTTGTTTCACCATCTGTTTTCCTTCTATTATAATTTAGAACTAAATATTGGTTATCTTTTTGATCAGTTTTATATCCAATATCTGAATTATGGTTATCCTCTTTTTCTTTTTTCTTATTAACAAATATATCATTTTCTAAGCTTATTGATGCACTATTAAAATAGTTATTTTGATTTTTCATTAAAATTTCGTTATTTTCTTTGATATTATATTTGAAATCTTGTAATTCATTATAATTTTTACTAATGTCTTTTTTAATTACATTATGATCTTCTTTTAATTTGAAGGAGGATTTAAGATTATTACACTGAGGATTACAACACAAGTTATCATTTTTTGATTCATTTTTTTTTATATGCATAGATTCATTACATTTAATGTATATTTTTTTCTTATCTTTGTTATTTGGTTGATTATTATTACTTGAACAATTTAAACTTATATTGTACAAATGATTTTCGTTCCACTCTTGTTTTTCATATATGTTATGATTTTTATGTAAATCATTTTCAAATGGATCAAGAAGACATTTTTTGTTCTCATCATAAATAAAATCATCTTCCTTTAATTCATGGAAATTTTTATTTTCACTTTTATAATGATTATTTTTTTTTATAGAAAATTCTTCCATAGAATCAAATATAATGCGATTAGATTCTTCTAAAGAATTTGTTTCATTTATTTTAAGATTGTTAATGATATCATCACACAAACTTCTTTTAATAATATCTCTTTTGTCTCCATTATCATATTGTATATTTTTGTTAGTTTTATTTTCTTTTATATTCATCTTTTTCAAAATATCTTTTTTTCTCACATCAATATTTTCTACGTTCATACAATTTTTCATTTTATAATTTTTAATAGTCACATTTTGACAGGAACTATTTGAAGAAATGCTTTTTTTACTGTTTATCGATTTACATTCAATGTGACTGCTGGTTTTATTAAACCCACTATTAGAGTTTTTATCTTCAATTATATCAGATAAATTATAAGTTATTTCATCTCTTGATAAATTTAAATCGTTATGTAACAATTTCTTATCATAACATAATTCTTGTATAATATCATTTTCTTTTGAATATATATGATTATTAAATTTATTTATTAATTCGTTTTCTTTAATATTTTTCTTCATTTTATTTTTGTTGTCTATTTTTAATACTTTGTCTTTACTCACAGCTAATTTTTCATTATTTAAAATGTTTTCTTCATCATTATTTATGTAGTTTTCATTACTACTTAAGATTATATTATTTTTATTCATATTATCATCGTTATTATATTTTATATTTCTGTAAACATTACTGTTGATGTTATTACAATAATTTAAATCATTATGTGCATTATTTTTTGAATAATTTTCACTGATTTTTTTTTTTTTTTTTTTTTCATAATTTTCATCTATTTTGTGAATTAAATTATTTAAATCATTATTTTTGTTATTTCTTTCTTTTTCATTTTCAGATAGTTCTACATATTTTTTATTATATACGTAATTTAATTTCTTGCTTCCCTCATTTTCTTTTATATTAATAGTATTATAAATATTCCTATTATTATTAACAATTTTTTCTTCTGTTATAATTGTAGTAATAGATTCATTAAATTCGCTTTTATTATTTACGTAACTATTTTTTTTATCTTCATTTAATTTTTTTTTATCAATACGCATTTCTATATATTTTTTAAACTCCTCTGACTCCTTTTCACTAATACTAATATTAAGTATATTTTTAGAAAAATTTTGAACTTCACTTATATGTTGAGTTATCTTTTGTGTTTGCAGTTCTTCTGATTCTTTACTGCTTTCTTTTATGGTGTTCTTATTGTTATTTATAATATTTTTTTTAAATGTTTCATTTTCTTCAAATGTATTTTTGTAATTTCTTTCATTTTGTTTATTTGATTTTATTAATGATATATTTTCTTCCAAAATATTTTCATTAAAATAAGAATAAAAGTTATTTATTTTTTGTATTAAGGCACAAACTTCATTTTTTATAGGACATCTAGCAACTTCATTGTTTGAAATAGATAATTGATTTTCTATATTCTCTCTTTTTGATGAATTATTTTCTTTTCGTTCTTTCATTATTAAAAACACAAAATCTATTAGTTCATCTTCTGGTATAATATTTCTTTTTTTATCTAACAGTAGATTACTAATTTTTTCAACAAAACTATCATTAATATTATTTATTAATTCGATATCAAATTTCTCATTATTTTTAATTATTAACTTAGATGAATCTATTATTACATCTAAGTCTAACAGTATTTTTCTCAAATTATTCAATGATATTATTTTACTATTATAACTAATATTTCTTGAAGTAAATTTATTGCAATTATCTTCTAAATAATTTATATTCATTTTTTAATTTCATAAACAAAAAAAAAAAAAAAAAAAAAAGAAAAAAAACATTTTATTAAAAACACATATTAAATATATGATATTTTAAAAAATTTTAAAAATATTTTCAATCTTAATAAATAAATTATATACAATTATTATTATCCTATATTAGAATTTTGTTTTCTCTTTTTATATTAGACATTTAAAAATGTAATTATATAATAAAATAAAGCAAAAAAAAAAAAAAAAATAATGTTTAAAAAAAATTAAGTTTTACTAAATATTAGTAAAATTTATATAATAGTCAAAAAACCTAATTAATTAAATATATTACATCTTTAATAAAAAGATAAATTTTCAAATAGTATTAATATTCTTATTTATAAGACAAAAACGGAATTCTACAATTTTTTTTTTTTTTTTTTAGGTAATCATTATATAAAGGAAGAAAAGTTACTGTGCAAAATACTATAATTAATTGTAGAATATGTTTACAAAAATATTTGTCTAAAAATAATACTATTTAAAAAAAAATGTATTTTTTTAAAATTTTCATTGTTGTTATAAGGAGAAATGTAAATTTTAATTTTTCATAAAAAATTAGAATTCTTGGAATCAAAATAAATTTAATAATCCAAAATGTAGAAATAAAAATACCAATAGAAGTTGAAGTAACACTTGTAATTCAAAACTTTACATATAAGAAATTTTTTATAAAGAATATATAATATTGTATAAAAATATATAAAGATAGTAATTGTAATAATGAAAAAAAATTACGATTATTTTTTATATAACCCTTATATATAAATGGTCACATCTATATTTTTCATTATATTAGTGATATTTTTCTAATTTCACATGTATATTTTTTTTTTTTTTTTTTTTTTTTCACTTCTGTTTTTTATATGTTTAAAATCCATACATTATAAATAACATAATTATTTTAACATGTTACTTATATTGTATTATGGGTATAATACATTTAAAAATAATGTTGTAGTAATAAAAATGTTAATATTTTATTTTAAATTTTCTTGGCATAAACTTATTATAGAAACCCCATTGATCACCTCACAATTTTTTTTGAACATTATTTTTTTATATATTTTACCATAATATTAAAAAATAAGAAATTATATTCATATAAAGTAAAATAAAGTAAAATAGAATTTATTTGTTTTTCATCACAATTGTATTAAGATGTTTATATGTTTTATAATAATTTATTTTTTTTTTTTTTTTAGTTTTAACATATATTTTTAATAAAAAGAATAATTCATGTAAAATGAAATTTTTTTTTTTTTAAGCGGAACTGTTTTTTAAATATTGCTACATCTTTTTTTTCAACGTTTTAATTTTTTTTTTTTACAATTTTATTATTAAAAAAAAAAAAAAATAATAATAATTATAATAAAAAAAAATAAATAAAATAAAAAAATAAATAAAATAAAAAAATAAGATAAAAAAAATGAATAATTAAAAAAAAAAAAAAATAACAGTAAAAAAAGTATTTATATTATATGTAAATAAGTTATTAAATATTTTTATAGTACTTATAATTTCTTTTATAATAAAATTTTAAAAAGTTAATTCAATCAAAACAAAAAATTTCAAAATGGCTCATGGAGCAAGCAGATATAAGAAGTCAAGGGCAAAAATGCGTTGGAAGGTAGATGAAAAATACATAAAAAAAAAATTATATAATTTATTAATTTCCTTTTATTTTTTTTTTTTTTATTTATTTTTCGTTTGTGTACATTCTTATTTTTAATATTATATGTATTCTAAAATTAAATTTTTTAAAAAGGTTAATACCTATAATTTGCCATGTATATATGTTTTTTGTTAATTTCTATATAAGAAATGCATTTTTAATTCTACTGTTTGATTGTGTAATTATATATATATATATTACGTATATATAATTTATTGTAGTAAGTTATAATTACAAATTCATCATACTATTATTTGTACTTCATTTATACATTTACTCAATCATATCCATTTATTTATGTATACAAAAAATTTCTTTACACATTTTTTTTATATTTTTATTAAATCATATTTATATATGTATATGGTTATAAAGTAATTTTATTTTTATAAATGTTTTATGTTCTCTCAAAATTTTTAGTGGAAGAAAAAGAGGACTAGACGTTTACAAAAGAAAAGGAGAAAGATGAGACAAAGATCAAGATAATTTCATTCATATACATTTATGTGAAATTTTTTTTTTTTAAAAAAAAAAAAATACATAACTAAGATGTTCACAAGTTAATCTAAATATAAAAAAAATTCAATATAAAGTTTTAGAAACTATAGCTATGTATTATTATATATATATATATATATATTTTTTTTTTTTTTTTTATACTTCATATATTAATACTTTTTTATTTATTTTAATATACCTTTTTATTTTATTACATATATTTTTTTAAAACGTATTAAAGAACCAAGCAAATATAGATATGAAAAGTAATAACGGAATTATTAGAATAAAAATAAAAAAAATTATTTTTAAAAAAATGAACCTAAAATTTCTTAATATTTAAATAATTTCTTTTCATTATTATATATAATTTTTTTATATTTTTATAAAAAAAAAAAAACATTTTAAGAAATTTAATTAATGTGGATTTTTTCTTTTTGTCTTTTTTTTTTTTTTTTTTTGAATGACGATTCATATATTATATTAATTACAAAAGAAAAAAAAAAAAAAGAAATTATAATTAGAAAAATTTTAAAATAAAAGTTACCCATTATGTTTTTTTTCTATTCATAAAGTATCATGTTCTTTTGGTTAAAAAATTTATAATTAAAGGTATATAAAACTTAATGATAACAATAAAAAAATAAAAAAAAAAAGATAAATATTAAATAACATTACAAAAATGGGTGATATTCATAACGAAAAAAGTGATTTAGAAAAAAACATAAATGAGGAAACAAAAGATTCATCAGATGAATCAAGCGATTCCTATTATAAAAATAAATTTCGCTTTAAAAAAAACTCAATAGAAATAAAAAAGAAAAGTTTACTGAAAAACAAATTAAAAAGTGATGATATAAAAATAATAAAAAACGATTTACATGAGAATAATAAAATTCTAGATAACGGAGAAATTTTCTGCCTTAGAAGCCAAAATGAAAATGAGAAAAATGAAAATTTGGAAAAGATAATTAAAATAGGTACAAAAAATAGTACTATGGACAAGAAAAATAAAAGTAGTATAACTTTTGCAAATGATAAAAAAGAAAAATATAAAGAAGAAAATCAACAGATAAATGAAAATGCAAATGAAATACAAATAAAAATAGAAAAGGAACAAAAATATAAAGATGAAATTAATCATGACAAAAATGATAATGAAATAAAATCTACAAATTTTAATAACGAAAAAAAAAGTTTCAATTATTATAGCAATAATATAAAGGAAAAAATAAATTCTCAAAATGATACACCCAATGAAAAAAATTGTGAACTTTTTGACTCCGAAAATATAAATACTAAAATTAATAAAAAACTAAAAAAAATTAAAATGATAAAAGAGAAAAAAAAAAATGAAGAATTATCTACATTAAATCTAATTAAAAAACATGGAAGATTGGTATTATACCAAAAATAAAATAAGTATTTTTTTTTATATGCATTTTCTCAAAAAATATACTTATAAATTTAAACTATTTTTTTAAAAAAACTAAAAGTTTTTATAATTTTTTTGTTTTTTAATAAAATTCAGGTAAATAAAATTGAAGAAATTTATATAAATAATAGTGAAGAAATAGAAAATATGAGAAATGACTTCACATCTTTAAAAAATGACCTCAATAAATTAATGAGTATAATAAATATAGGTCAAAAAGCAGTTGCTTTGTTAAAATAAAAAAAAAAGCATTAATATAAAAAAAAAAAAATTCCTTTTTTCCTTTTATATATATTCATTTAAATACAAAGACAAATATATATATTATGTTTATTTTATTTTTTTTTTTTTTTATATAAAAATTTTTAAAATCAAGATTATTTATTCTTATATTTTCTAAATTTATATCAAAATTTTTAATTCTTTGGAAAAATCTTAATATAATTTTACTTTTTTTTGAAATCAATATTAAAAAAGTTTTGCTCTAACATGAATATTTTAAATGCTCTTAGAAAAAAAAAAAAATTAAAAATCCATAATAGGGGTAACACATTTTAAATTATTTTACTAATTATTTAATTTTTTTTTTTTTTTTTTCTTTTGAAGTTTTCTTCTATTTCTAATTATATAATGAATAGCTATTTATTTTTTAATAATACAAATATAAGAAAAAGTGTAAATTTTACAAGTTTTTTTTATTTAAATAAAAGAGGAGTCCTTCAATCAAAATTTCAAAAAAAGAATGATAGCTCGTATAATTTGCCATTTAGAGTATATAATTTAACAGAATTTTTTTTTTAATAAAAATAAAATATCTTTGTATATATTTACTTAAATAGAATTATTTTTTTTGCTTTTACAGGTAAGTAGAACTACTTCTGGAAATTTACCAGTATATCCCAAAATAAGAAGACATGGAACAATAGTTACAACGATTGTCCGACATATTTATGGAGATATTAAAGTAAAATAAAAAAATAAATAAAATAATTTTTATTCTCTTATACTATTTATGTAAATATATATAATAATTCTTAAGGTATTCAAAGAACATTTAAGGAATATATGTGAAGCACCAGTTAGAGAACATGTAGGATATATTGAAGTTAAAGGATTACATACATTAAAAATAAAACAGTGGTTGCAGCATATTGGGTTTTGAGCAAAAAAAAAAAAAAATTAAGCTAAATAAAATATAGATTTTTATTAAAAATAATTTTTTTAAAATATAATAATAAAAATTTATTTAAATATATTAAAAAAAATATAAGCAAAATGGATGATTCATCATCTGCTTTTAAGTGTATTATTTAAATATCTTTTTTTTTTTTTTTTTTTTTTTGGTTTTTTTTGTTTTTAATTTATTATTTAAATTAATTTTCACATACTTATAGAATAATTTGAATTCTTACAATTCTAAAAATTTTTAAAACAAGTCACTTATAGTTATTAATCTTTTCTTTTTATTTTTATAAAACATTTATTCCAATAAATTTAAAAAAAAATAAAAAATAATATATATGTAATATATAATAAAATTAAGAACTAATTAAAATCTCATGAAAAACTTATGTTAATACAATGTGTTTAAAAATTATTATTCTTTATCTTATATTTTTTCATTAATTTGAAAAAGATAGCATATTTTTTTCATGTAAAAGCCTGTTCAAGCAAGCATCTGATTCTCCTTTTTGCCTGACATGGCCAGAAATTGCGAATGTTTCTGATTTTCCATTATAAACACCATTTTCATCAACCTTAAAAATAAAAGTTAAAGTAACAATATATATATAAGAAGTTATATACTAACATAATAAAATAAACTATTCTTTATTTAATTTCATATATTCATATTTAAAAATACAAAAAAAAAAAAACCAAAGCTCTTTTTTAATATAAGGACATATATATATATATATATATATATAAAATATGTATATTCTCATATAAAAAAAATATACATATATATAATATATACTCTTTTTTTATGTTAAAATTATTCTATTTTTTGTTCTTACCATTCCAACATTTATTTGAACTGCTCCATGTTCTTTAGCAGGTATAAGTCTTGATGTAGCAGAACATTTTCTTGGAATATAAATATCAACTAAAACTTTTTGATCGTTAAACATTTTTATTAAAGTTACTTAAAAAAAAAAAGAAAAAAATATTGTTACTAAGAATATAATTTAGATAATATTATATTTATTTAAATTTTTGCTAAATATTTTATTTTTCTTGTTAATTTTCTTAAAAATTATTTAACATAATTATTTATAGAATTTTTTTTAATATTATTTTAAAAAAATTTATTTGTTATAAATTATAAAACATAAAAAAAAAAAAAAAAAAAAAAAAAAATTAAAAATTAATAAATAAAAAATAACGTTTTTACATGTATGTTGGCATGTATTATTTTTTTCCAAATAGAAAAAAAAAAAAAAAATTTTTTTTGAAGCATAAAAAAAATGACAAACGAAGATAATTTAAGAAATCTCTTAAAATATTCTTGGTGAAAAGTAAAATTTGTTTTTTTTCACCAAAAATATAATTTTAATTAAGGAAAATATACCAAAAGAAATAAAGAATTATCAAACCATTTTCAGTGAAACAAAAGAGAAAAAAACAAAAGTTTATCAAAGATAATAAAGTACTAACTCTTGTAAAATTTTTTTTTTTCCTTTTTTACCATTTATTTAAAAATAAGATTTTATATAAAAATTCACTAAATTTAAAACCACCTCCTTCTCTATATTAATAAATTGAAAATTATATTAAAAATTTTAAAAACTTATAGAATACTATATAAGTTTTTTATTCCAATTGAAACATAATATACACGCACAAATTTAGGAATTAAAGAAAATAATATAAATGAAATTTTATATATGCCTTCATACATACATTTAACTAAATATTTCAAATTAAAATATATGTGTAAGTCATAAAGAACGTTATGAAGTCTTTTATTTTTTAAAAGCACTCCTTAGAACTATATATATTAAAAAATTATTTTATTTTAATTTTTATCATTATATTAAGAAAAAATTAGAAAAATAATACTCTTGTTTTAAGTAGGTAAAATATGGAAGAATTTAATATTTGTTCAAATTTGTTATTAAATAGTATTGATTTAAATAGAAAACTACATAGTAAAAAAAAAAAAAAAAATCTTCTTTTTTTCCTTCCATTCTAAATTTATTGCATTAATTGAAATGACAATATTTATAAAATATTTAAAGTTTATATATATTTATATATATCATATAAAAGAAAAGAATTGCATACACATATATATGCATATTTAAATAAAACTGTGTAAAAGTATAAGTTTGTATAAAAAAAATATAAAAAAATTTTTTTTTTTTTAAGATAGAGATTTATATCATCTAAAAGATTACATAATACCTGAATTATCAGAAAGTGACTACAAAGGATGTAGTGGAAAAATATGTGTTATAGGAGGTAATGAAGTTTATTGTGGTGCTCCATTTTTATCAGCTATGACTTCTTTAAAATTAGGAGCTGATTTATGTTTTGTGATAACTTCTAAAGAAAACTCTATTCCTTTAAAAAGTTATAGTTGTGAATTAATTGTTTACCCATATTTATATAACAATAAATCGGAAATAACAGAAGTTAAAGAAAGCGATTTAGAAAAATGTGTTGAATATTTAATGAATAGAATTGATTCTTGTGTTATTGGTCCTGGTCTTGGTTTAATTGATGAAACTACAAGAAAGTGTCTTATATATATTATAGAAAAATTTATAGAAAAAAATGTATTTTTAATTCTAGATGCTGATATAATAGAATTTATTATTTCAAATAATAATCTATTTGAATTAATTAAAAATTATGAAAACTGCATATTTACACCTAATAAAAATGAATTTAAAAAGATGATTTTACTTTTGACAGATGATAAAAGTATAAAATTTGAACAAATAGATTCTCATCAAATTATTTATAGTGCACATAAAATGAATTTAATATTTAAAGGACCTAAAATACTAATAAAAGGTTTTTATGATATTTTTATTTCTCAAAATTTTTTTTTTGTATCATTTATTAGTAATCCATGCTTAAAAAGATTAGGAGGACTTGGTGATATATTGGTATATATATATATATATATATATATATATATTTTTTTTTATCTTTTTTTTAATTAATATTTATTAAATATTTATATATATATATATACTTTATATTTACCTTATTTTAACTATAGACTGGTTTATTGGCTGTTTTTTATTGTTGGGCATCCAAAAAAAAAAAAAAAATTTCACAACATATTAAAGAAATTTTAAATATTGATAATACTGATCATCATAATGAGTGTTTAGATGCACTTTCAGCTTTTAATGGAAGTTATTTTCTTAAAATTTTGTGTAAAGAAGGTTTTAATAAAAACCACAGAGGATTAATAGCTTCAGATATAATGAATAGTATTCCTCATTATTTTTACAACATTTATGATAAAGAAAAATAAAAGAGCTAATTTTTTTTTTTTTTTTTTTTTTGTTAACTATTATTATTATATTATATGCTATATAGAATATAAAAGATATTTACTTCAGAGAAAATTTAGTTTATACATCTAAAAATAATAATTAATAATGATATATTATAAATTCTATTTTTCATTCTTTATATTGAAACTTTTTGCAAATGAAGCATTCATTATCTTAATAAAAGTATAATATTTTTCAAATTATTATATATATATATAAATATATTGTATATGTTGTCTATTTTTTTTTTTTTTTTTATTCTTTTTATATCTTTTAAGAAAATGTATATAACTTTAAATATTTTTTTTTAAAAATTAATAATTATAAATTATTCAATATTTGATAATAACATGCTAACGTTTTTATTAATTAAAAAAATTCACATTTGTAAACATAATTTTTTTTTAATGTTTCCATATAATCAACTTACAAAAATTATATTAATTTTATAAAAAAAAAAAAAAAAATATTGGAATTGTAAAATTTAATTTAAAATAAAATTATTCAAAATAGGAAGACAAAATTATTATATTTAAAACAAAAAAAAAAAAATTTAGATCAAAAAATAATTTGATAATGTATTCGTTACGTAATTAAAAAATATTATGAAAATTAGAGCCAAAAATAAAAAATAAAAAATACTAATAAAAATAAGAAAAGAAATTTTTTTTTATTTTTGTTCTTTTTTTTTTTTTTTTAAATGAAATCTCAGCTTACAATATGAAAATTCATCAAATCTTCATACATAAAAGAGTTTTGATTTGGCACTTCTTCGTTTTCTTTGCTTTTATACCAATGAGGAAATGTATAATGCTCGTATAGTGTAGAATTATATTCACTTGATCTTGTCATAGAAATATTTTCATTTTTTGAATTCACTTCAATTGATCCACCTATAGGTATAGTTTGAAAACGAATAGAAAGATTTAGTAATAGCTTTTTCCACGATTTTGGTAATTTTTTTGAGTTTCTTAAAATTAAAGCCCTTTTAAAACGTTTGTATGTTGATGCATATAACTTTTTTTGTTGATACATATGTTTAACATAATTTCGATTAATATCACTATAGAATAAATTTAAATTGTCTGAAAATATAGAATGAAAACTTTCTGTATATTCATGGTATTCATCATTTGAAGAAGGATAAAAATATTCTTTTAAATCTTCTAGATCATCATTTTCCTTTTTTTTTTCATTATTGTTTTTAATATAATATTTTTTCATTATTTTTTTTATTTTCTTTTTTTTTTCTGGTAAACTTATGTTTCTTAATGTATAAAAGCTTACACCAAGCAAAGCAGCTTCTAAATCATCTCTAGGTTGCATAAATTCTTCAGCAGATAATCGAAAAGTACCCCAATGAATTCCAACAGCAATTTCTGCTCTTATATCTCTCCATATTTTCACAGATTCCCATGGATGTACGTGGTGATATTTTAGGTGATCATTTGGTTCATATGCACCAATAGATATAGCAGCTAAATGAAATGGACCATGTAATCTCCCAATTTTTTTAAATTCTTCAAAATCATCCTTTAAATATGCAGTATCACCAGAAAAATAGAATTTATGTTTTGGGCCTTTTAATATTAATGAACCCCATAAGGATTGATTAAAATCACTTAGATTATCTTTTCTTGCTGTCCAATGAAGAGTGGGAGCATAAATTATTTTATATTTAAAAATGCTATTCGCATTATTTTTACTTTTCCATATACCATCTCTACATTGAAATTGTTTATATGATATCCAACATGATATCCATCTTTCATCTCCCCAAGACAACTCGTAAATTTTTGCAGCTTTGCAACCTTCTTTAAGAAAAAAGTTTGCTAACCCTTCTGGGACATACCACATAACATTTTGAAATTTTTTTAATTTACATAAAACTCTCACATCTTCTTCCATTATGTGATCATGATGATTATGAGAAACAAAAACAGCATGTAGATCATCTGGTAAATCAGAAATATTACACGGAGACTTTGATATTCTTGCTCCTAATCCTCCCATTATCTTAACATTTGCCCAATTTAATAAGGATCTCGCAATTCCTTTAAGACTTAATAATTCAATATTAAAAACGGGGTCTAATAATACCTTAAACCCATCTACTACTACTAAACCTGTTGCATGCCCTAGCCAGGTGTAATTTACACCATAAAAATTTGGTTCCATTTCATCATTATTTTTATAAAAATGAGTATATAAATCCGCCCTCTGAATAAAACGGGGTGATAAAACAGGCATTTCTCTTTTTAAAAATTCTTGACTTACATTTTGTGCCTTTCTATGATTTTTAAACCACGTAACTAAAAACCCAAAAAATTTCGCATTTTCAAATATTTTCGATACCTCATCTTGTGTTATGGAGTCCCAAGGATATATATATTCTTTATCAATTTTTATTGCTTTTGTTAAACTGTGCGGGGATATAGCTTGTTTTAAAAAACTTTTAAAATATACGTAGCATTCAGTAGATAAGGATCTTTGGCGTAATGAAAAATTTAAACTAGTTTGTCTTAAATATTTCATACTTTCGGAATATATACTCAAAAAATTATTATCTACTATTTCAGTTCCTAGTATATTTTTCAAATGTATTGTATTAGAAGTTTTTTTATTTGGAATATAAATGTATTCATCATTTTCAAAGTAAGAATCAAAACTATTAGTAATATTATTTTCGTTTTTCCAACTATAACTATAATTTTTAAGTATAATATAAAAAATTAAAAAAAAACTCATAAAAATTATTATATTTATAGTATGTTTTTCCTTTTTCTTTAATGTTTTATTCAAAAAAGGTGGAAAGAATAAAAAATATTTCTGTTTTTCTTTCATACATTTTTTTTTTAAAACATCAATGTAATTATCGTCAATGTATTTATTATTTGTTCTGTAGAAATATTCCTTTCCTTTAAAATTCATGTCGCTTATATTCTTATTAATTTTACTTATTCTTTTTAATTCATTATTTTTGTAATGCATCGATTTTTTTTTTATTTTATTTTCAGCCATATTTTCATTTATATGAAAGTTATAATTCTATTTATTTTTATGCAACATATTTTAAATAATAAAAAATTTACGAATACATTATATATATAAAGCTAAATACAAAAAATTTTTTTTTCTCTTCTTTTTTTTTGTTTGTAACATTTAAACATTATTTTTTGTCTTATACATTTTAAAAATTAAAATTTTATTAATATTTATCCACAAGTAAAACTTAAAAAATATCTCGATTATTTGCAGTTATTTTAATCAAAATTGATAAAAATAAGCATTGTAGAATTTTCACAGATTAACAAAAGAAATGCAAAAAAGTAAATTTAAAAATTTTTTTTTTTTTGCATTTTCATAAATGTCATAGGAGACTTAAATTTTTGTATTAAAACTTTAAATTTTTTTCATGAATTGTTTTTTATTAATTGTTTTTTTTTTTAATAAAATATAACTAAAAACTTCTGCTGTTAAAAGAAAATTTTTTTATATAAAAGAAAATCATATTTGAAATCAAAATTGTATAATTATGAAACCGTAAAAATAAAATATTTAAAAAAATATTAAACAAGTCTTGTAAAAAAAAATTATATTATATTTTATTTAGTGGAATTTGTATATATTGCTCTTTTATGAATAAAAATTAACAATAAATATATTTGTTTCATAATTTTAAAAAAACGGCACACACATATTTATTTTAAAAAAAGTTTTAAACATAATTTTAAAAAAAAAAAAAAAAAACAAACAAAATGTTAAATTTACGCTTTTATATAAAACATAGTCATTTAACGGTGTAAAATAGATCTTTTAAATTTAATTATGTTACATATTAATCTTTTTCTTTTAACAGTTTTATTTATTTTTTTTTTTTTTAATTCATTCATGCTGTCCTCTTACATAATTATAAAAATTTTCTAAGTTATTAATATTTTTTTTATCTTTTAAATTTATTATAATGTGAAACTTTTTTTCAATATTTTCAATTTTTGCTTTACACTTTTCTATTTTACCATTCAAAATGAGTTTATCATTTTCCAACACTACTAATTCTTTGGCTAATAAAAAGAAAATAAAAATTAAAAATATAAATATAATTTCAAAGATAGATTATAATTTTAATAAAATACAAAAATTTCTTTTTCAGACAAATTTTATACATATTTTTAACTATAAAAATTTAAAAAATTTACACTAACTATTAGTTTGATTCATTATTGAATTGTATATATCTAAAATAGATTTTTCTTCAAAAATCATTATGCATCTGAAATAATATAAAAATTCTTCATTTTTTGAAAAATAATTTAGACCTTTTGTAAAGTTATTTGTGAGTATCTTAAATATATAATATATTATAGATCTAATATTCTAAATAATTAAAAGAAAAATAAATTAATATGTAAATTAAAAAAAAATAAATAAAAATAATTTCATATATTTAATATAAAAATAATCTGAATATTGTATGAAATTAAAGTTACAAACGTTAAGTTCATTGATTTCTAAATTTAGATTTCTAATTCCGTTATTCATGTTTTGTATTTCCTTCCAGAACTCTAATAAAACTTTAAATATCATCTTATTTTTATTTAAATAATTTTTTATCTCTTCTAAAATTACTTTTTTCTCTACCCATTGTATTAAAATTTTTAATATCTGTATTTAAAATAAAGTGTAATCATTGCTTTTTATACTACAATATTAAAAATATTTAATTTTATACTTATTTTTAAATATCAAAACATTATACATATATATATCTATAAAGGTACCATAATTTTTAAGTGGAAACTACTAATTTTAAATATTTTTAGTAAATCTTCTAATAAATCATTTTCAATAAATTTTCTAAATTCATATAAGTTATTTATTATAATAATATTTAAAAACTGCAGAAATACCAAGTAGTATAACTCATTTTGTAATAGAAAATTTTTCCTTTTTAATTCTTCTAAAATAACATAATTAACAAAAGGCAAAATAATTTCTGATGTCAAATTATTTTTTACAAAAATATTTATAATACCAAAATAATAAAGTTTTAATAAATTATCCAATTCTAAATTTTTTAAATTTTTATGTTTTGTATCCTTATTTATTTTATAAAAATTCTCTTCTATATTTATGATAAAATTTTCTTTTAATGTTTCCTTAGATACTCTTTCATTATTTAAACTAATATAAAATAAAGATTCTAAATACTTTACATATAAATATTTATTATGCATATTTTTGTCTTTCATATTTTGTATTTTTTTTATTATTTTTTCAGTTAACGTAGTGCAATCTATTATTTCAGTCAAGGAACTGCTATTCACACCATTAATAATATCAAAACATAATAAATGTAACATCTTTTTTTCTTCTTTAAAAAAAAAAAAAAAAAAAATTATATTTAAGAAAAACAGATGATATATAAATTTATATATATATATATATATATATATATATTAAAAATAATACCAGAAAAATGTAAATTATTGCAAGTTAAAAAATCTAAAGATAAATTTAAAATATTATTAATCAATTTTATACTTTCTACATTAACCTTATATTTTTTATTTTCATCTGAATTTTCATTAATAGATCTAAAAATTATTTTTTTATGTGGGTTAATTATTAATTCTATTAAATTTCTTAAAACGCAAAATAAAATGCAAATAAAATCATAAAATAATTCATTTTTTTCTTCTAAAATATTCATTATATTATGAAATTTAATTAGACTTCTAATATGTTCTATTATATTATATAATGTACTAAAAAATATAATTCCACTATTATTTAAATAATAATGTTCATCAAAAAAAATTAGCTTATCAAAACAATTTCCTTCTATAATATAAGAAAATAATTTTAACAGGTTTATACATGTAAAATCATAGCATTCTCTTTTTATACTTATATATATTTTTTCTAAAATGTTGTTAATAAGTTCTATTTCATCATGTATTAAAAGTTTAATAATTTTTATATTTCTATTAACAACATTTATTATTATTTGTATAATTAAATAATTGGTATATATGTTAGTGGAAAGTAGATTGATAAATAATTTTATAATATCACATTTACATATTTCATCATCAAATTCTTTAAATTCCGTTAATAAAAGTAAACTATGGATAATTTTTTCATTTTCTAATTCTTGATCAAAATATAAATTATTAAATATTTCTAAAATTCTACTATCTATTATTATTCTAATATAAAAATCTTTATAAACATTCGATCCTATTAATCTGAAAAAGGTACGCATATATATATAATTATGAAAAAATAAAAAAAGAGAATAAAAATAAAAAAATAAAGTAAATACATTCATTTCAATATGTGTATATATTTAAAGAAAAAAAGAAAAATAATATAGACACTTTTTTCTTTGTTGTAAAAGAAAAAAAAAATTATAAGCATTATAAAATAAATTCTATATTTCATTACTTTAATGTGTCTACTAGGAATAAATTTAAAAAATTTATTATTGATGTAATTAAAGAATTGATTTTTTCTGAATTATCATTTTTGCATTTCTTTAAATATGAACTTAAGTCTAATATTGATAAAAAAAATTTTTTAATTTCTTCAATATAAAATATATTGTCTTTTAATTTTACATTTATAAATGAACTAGGTATATTTTGAAAATGTATCAACAAAATGTTCACTAACAAGGTTCTTTTTTCTTCTATAAATTTTTTTATTATTATATTTAAAAAATTATTTAATTCTTCTAATTCTCTTATAGTTAATCTTTCAAAATTTTTATAATAACCTAAAAGAAAATTATTTATTTTTTCTTCTAAAATAACTAATGTATTTTTTTCCTCAACATTCATTAACTCATATATATTTTCAAAATTTATGACTTCTCCTAAAATAGAGCATTCATCATTTTTAATCATTTTGTTATTATTAAAAAAAAATTAAATAAATTCAACAGAAAATACAATATATCATAAAACATATATAAACATATAAGCATTTAAATAGTTTTGTATATATATAACTTTTATTTGTCTAATAAAAAGTTTACAAATATATTATCACTTTTTACATTTACATTATATTTTCATAACGTAAAAATTTAAAAAAAAAAAAAAAACAAAAATACTTTTTAATAAGTATTATTACTTATTTTTATTTTATCTCGGTGCTCATTTTTTTTTTTTTTTTTTTTTTTTTGGTTTTTTTTTTAAAGG